ACATTAGCTCAGACTCTGCTAAGCCTGGAGATGTGCTGGTGACACTCACTGGCCCACCATCTCCTCCAAGCATCTCCATGACATCAACAAGGAAGGGTTGGCCAGCCCACCCAGCCACACCACCTTTCCATAATAATACCAAGAGGGAATCCAAGGCCCCACTCACTGTGACAGTCATGGTCTCTCTTCTGCTTACTCAAAAAAAGGTGATCTTATATGCCTGGCAATACAAAAGAGACTACCAACTCTTCCATCCTTCTCTTCGTAGTAGTAGTAGTAGTAGTAGTAGTAGTAGTAGTAGTAGTAGTAGTAGTAGTAGTAGTAGTAGAAGTCTCAGTATATATTGCATGTCCTTTTCTGGACAGAAAAGCAAAAGCCAGTTCCCTGCAGACTGTCCAAGACCAGGGAATCATTCAATGCCCTCCATTCTAGTAAGCGCTGAATATCTGCTCAGGGCTTTACCTTGCTCTGCAATCAGCGGCTCTGGGCCATGTCTGCATGGAGGAGGAGACAGAAGAGAAGGAAGAGTCAAGCTTTCAGGAGATCCATTGCCCTGCTGGTCCCTGTAGCAGACACAGGAGCAGAGGACGAGGGGAGGTCTCAGATGGGTCACTTGAGAGATGCTGCCTCTGTGCAGGAAGAGCCATAAGCTGAAGCAGCAGCTGTCTGTCCACTTCCTAGGAAACCTACCTCCTCCAAGTTCTTTGTTCCTAAGAAGAAATGCTATGGAGTAATCCTTTTGTACACTGTGAATATGTATTGCTATCATTGGTTTAATAAAGAGCCAACTGGCCAATAGCTAGGCAGGAAGAGGTTAGGTGGGAGAGTCAGACTGAGAGAATGCTGGGAAGAAGGAGGGCAGAGTCACCAGGAGACTCAGAGTGAGGCAAGATGAACATGCTGTACTGAAAAAGGTACTGAGCCACGTGGTAGAACATAGATTAGAAAAAATATGGGTTGATTTAAGTTATAGAGCCAGTTAGAAACAAGCCTAAGCTATCAGCCGAGCATTTATGATTCATAATAAGTCTCTATGTGGTTGTTTGAGAGTGGGCTGGTGGGACAAAAAACTCTGCCTACAAAGAAAATTCAGAGGGGGACAGAGCAGGTGCTGGATACCCAGGAGAGAGCAAGATGGGGGCTTGCAACACCTGAGATCTCTGCAATATGTTCACTCAGTGTGACCAACACAGAAAATCATATATTAAAAACCGAAATGACTTGAACAAAATAAGAAGTCAACTGTTAATTATGAGACCAAAACAAGGCTGCTGAGTTCAAATCCAGCAGAAGGGGTCTGCCCTCACTGGGTAGACACTAGAGCTATATGACCTTGGGCAGCCTCTCAGAACATCTATGGGATCATACATGTTCCTTATGGGAGCCATCATGAGAAGTAAATGTCGATACACTTGACGCTCTTAGAACAGTGGCTGGCACATTATTGGTTCTCAATAAATTTTATATAAATATGGAGATGGTCCTAACATCAGGGTTACCTCGATAAATTGATCAGAAACCGATGATATTATAAGGAAAAACTACACTTAAGCTTATCATCCCAGCACACGGAGGGTAGAGGCAAGAGGATCAGGAGTTCGAGGGCGTCCTCAAATGCGGAACTAGTTCAAGGCCAGCCTGTGCAATGTTGAGTCCTTGTCTCAAAACAAAAAGCAAAAGTCTTCACCTTAGCCCTGTTTTCCATCCAATGGGACATATTTTCTATGTCTGACAACTTGCGTAAGATTACATGAGCTTGAGACTGAGTCACCATGGCTATCTGCCAGACTTCCATTAGATTGCCATCATGGACATGAGCTATGTGCCCATCATTAAGCTGCTCAGGGTCAGCAGAGTGCTGGGCAAGACCAGCCTGCAGGGACCATGGCCACAGGTCCAGGTGGACCACATGGACAGCGTGAGCTGCTCTGTAATCCACCACATGAAAGACTTAAGTAGAAGTCCAGTTACTCAGTTTATTGGAGTCATAGCAAGAGGTTCCCAAGGCAGAGCTGACCCTGCCGCTAGGTCCTGGATCTGTACCACTTCGCCCACAGGATTACCTGCAACTGTTAAATTAAGTGTCTGTTTTGTATGTTAAGATAAATAAGTACGAAGGTTGAGTCACAGGATGGAGATTTTTCTGTGACATGAATTGACAGTTTAAGTAAAGGACCTAAAATGGAGCAGCATATCTTGAAAATGATGTTCCTCTTGCTTTTTCTTACCGTGCTGATAATTGGAGTTTGGCCCAAAGAAATCCTATTCCATTTCTTGCCAAGTTCACACGTCTTATGTGCCAGTCAGTGCAGTGGGTCATGGTCCTTTAGGTCATGAGATCTCTCCCCTCACAAGCCCCTCACCTGGAAGCTGACAGTACAATGTCCAGTTGTACCCTGCCCCTGTTTGTTTTAGATATCTATCCCAAGAACAGAAGCATTCCCACAGGCCAAGGTCAAAATTGAGCATCAGGTGAAATTATCCTTAAACCTGGAGGGCTCTGTGGTGGTTTGAAAGAAAATGGCCCCCCAAAGGGAGTGGCACTATTAGGAGGCGTGGCCTTGTTGGAAGAAGCGTGTCACTGTGGGTGTGGGCTCTGAAGTCTCCTATGATCAAGCTACACCCAATGAGGACAGACCCTCTTCCGCTGCTACAGATCAAGATGTAGAAATCTTAGCCCCTTCTCCAGCACCATGTCTGCCTGCATGTCACTGTGCCCCATCATGATGATCATGGACTGAACCCCTGAAACTGTAAGCGAGCCCAGGTAAGTGTTTTCCTTTCTAAGAGTTGCTGTGGTCATGGTATCTCTTCACAGCAATAGAAACACCTAACTAAATCAGGCTCGCTCCTTGAATGTTCCTCCCTTACGATGTCTAAGCACTTTGGATGTTAACCAGTGTTGGTGTATGAAGTAGGGGTGACAGTAGTGGAGAGATGGTACAGTAGTTGATTAGGAGTGCTTGCTGAGCAGACATAAGGACCAGAGTTCGGATCCCAGCACCCAGGTAACCAAAATTGCAAGCTTTACCTCAAAAGAATAAAAGATTATTAATAGAGTTGGACATCCATTGCTGTCCTCTGCCCTCTAAGGATACAGAGGTACCTATACACCCCAAGTTCTCAACCTGTGGCTTGAGACCCCTTTGGGGGTCAAATAACCTTTTCACGGGAGTCACATATCAGATATCCTGCATATCAAATATTTACAATTCCTAACAGTAGCAATATTATAGTTATGAAGTAGCAATGAATAATTTTATCATTGGAGGGGGGCGGTCACCACAACATGAGGACCTGTATTAAAGGGTCGCAGCGTTAGGAAGGTTGAGAACCGCTGCTATACGTGCACATACAGCACAAACATAACATGTCATGAACACGTTACACATGCAAGAAATTGATGAGGTGATGTTAGTGTTCATCACCAAGGACAAAATAAAATAGAAACCACAAAATGTGGTAAAAGTAATAATAACTGGAGTCAAACAATAAACTGGAGTCAAAACAAAACAAAGGAACGGAAGGCTGGGGATGTAGCTCAGCTGCTAAAATGCCTGCCTAGTGTGAGGAAGCCATAGGTTCCATCTCCAGCAGCGATAAATGATATGGGGCATTTGCCTGTGGTCCAAGAGGATCCCTAAGAGTTTGGGGTAAGCCTAGATGACACTGTGAAACTCTGTCTCAAAAAATCAGGTGAGGTGGCACACGCCTTTCATGCCAGCACTCAGAAGGCAGAGGCAGGTGGCTCTCTGTGAGTTCAAAGATGGCCTGGCCTATATAGGAAAAGCCAGGATAGCCAGGGTTACATGGTAAAATCTTGTCTCAAAACAAAAAGAAAAACCACCAAAAGAGGAGAGGTGGGTGGGGGTGGGCATTATTCTCTCAAAAAAAAAAAAATCATCTTATTCCCACTCCCTTTGGTTGTGGTTAATGTTTTTGTTTGTTTTTTTGTTTTGTTTTTTGTTTTTGTTTTTTGAGACAAGGTTTCTCTGTGTAGCCCTGACTGTCATGGAACTCTCGCTGTAGACCAGGCTGGCCTCGAACTCACGGAGATTCACTCTCCTCCGCCTCCCGAGTGCTGGACTTAAAGGCGTGTCACCACCATAAACATAGTTTTTCCACTACTATGTAGATAATAATTGTGTATGATTAGGAAGTATAGTATGATATTCAATATATGAGCACTGTGTATAAATATCAGATCATTATAACCTCCCCCATAAACGGCTGTTGTTGTATCATTTCTTTGTTTGGGGAACATTCAAAATCCTCTCTTCTTATTTTTGTTTGGGTTTTTCATTTGTTGAGATGGAGTCTTGCTGTGTAGTTCCAACTGACCTTGAGCTCATCATCTCCCAGATTCAGCCTACCAAGGACTAAGATTGTAGGTGTGCGTCACCATGGCCATCTCTACTACCTATTTTGAAATAAACAAATTAGTTGTTATTAACCACAGTCACCCTAGTCCGATGTTCTCCTTGTCCGTTTATTTAAAGACAGAGCACGCAGGTTAGCCTTGAATCATAGCTACCTCCCAAGCACTGGAGTGACAGATGTGTACCACTGCTCCGGCCTCCCTGTCCAAAGTGAGCTAGAGAGCTGGCTTAGCAGTTGAGAGCATTGGCTGCTCTTCCAGAGGACCCAGGCTTGATTCCCAGCACCCACATGGCAGCTCACAACCATCTGTAACTCCAGCTCCAGGGGTTCCAATGCCCTCTTCTAGCCTCCATGGGCACTAGGCACACACATGGTGCATAGAATGTTAGACATTTCCCTCCTATTCAGATCTGACCTCAACCAGTAAACCATTCTCCGTCCATCTTTCCCTGCCTCACCGTACTACTCTTAATCTAAGTAACTCACAGAAACCATGAGAACTAGAACTAAAAAAAAAAAAAAAATTTACTTAAGAGAATTTGTACAGTCTCAACTGTGTCTATAATGTGTGTTTAGTATTATTTGTGTGTCGTTTAAAGCTTAGGAACAGATTCCAGACTCGCACTGTTTTATTATCTCAGATCTGCCTTGGCTATGAAACCTCTCCCATGTCCCAATTGCCTCATCCGTGAAGTGGGAATGGCTGAGATCCTTATTTCATAGAGTTGTTCCAAGGATTCAGTCAAGCTTGTGGGTGCAGTCATCCTTGGGGGGCTTGCTGGGATGAAATTTTCACCCTGCCCTGTAGCTGAAAGTTTTCCTGTGTCCCGCCTGGTCCACAGCTGCTCAGACCCAAGTAAACACACAGAGGCTTATATTAATTAAAATTGCTCAGCCATTAGCTCAGGCTCATTACTGACTAGCTCTTACATTTAAACTCAGCCCATTTCTGTTAGTCTACATGTCGCCACATGTTCCATGGCTTTACCTGTGTGCCATTACATGCTGCTCCCTGGATGGCGGGCTGGCATCTCCCCACTCAGCCTTCCTCTTCTCATAATTCTCCTTGTATGTTTATCCCACCTATACTTCCTGCCTGGCTACTGGCCAATCAGTGTTTTATTAAACCAGTGTACAAAAGCATTATTCCACAGCAATGCCCTCAGCACACACTTCCACTTATGAGAAACAGAGATTTAGACCTAAAACCTATCCCAAGTAACCACCCAGAGCCCGGCAGGGTAAAGGCTCCAATTCAAGTAAGGCTGGTTCCCCAGGCTGAGCGCTGAAGGAGCCTACAGTGACCTTCATTCAGGCTTGCGGCAGAAGGAAGAAACACAGGGTGAAGCCCAATGCCAAGGCCAACACCCACACTGCCATCCCTCAACTTTGCCCTCTGGGATAGCCAATCCCAAGGCAGTCTGGGGTGGAAGGTGGTGCCTTTTGGTTGGGATAGCAACCGAAATGGGTCAAACAAACTCAGCTGGGGCTGGGACTGGGTTGTTTATCACTACCCCTGATGCTAATGGCAACTGCCATGGTGATCGGGAGCTCCCAGCTTCCTAAGCAAACAGTCTCTGGTCACCCTGGATTCAAAAGGCAGTGCAGGGCTGGCCTACATGCACAGCTGAACTAAGGCTGCTGAGACTGGCCTTGAATTTGTTACGTAGCCAAGGGCAACCTTGAACTTCTGATCCTCCCAAGTGCTAAGATCACAGAGTTGTGCCTATTATGATAACTATTCAATAAGATGACTATCAAACCCAGGCCAGGTATGGTGATGTACACCTGCCATCCAAACACTCTGGGGATGGATGAGACAGGAGGATCAGGAATTCAAGGCCAGCCTGGGCTACATGAGACTCTGTCTTTAAAACAAGTAACACACATACATATGTAGACAGAGACCAACTTAAAACTCAAGAAAAAGTCATTGGGCCTGTTTCCGTTTTATCTTGCCGTTAAATATTTTATCTGTTATCAGTCTTGAAAAAAGTGTGTTATTCCTGCATTTTTATATGCATTGATAAATACTTTATTACAACTTCAATAATAGATGAACTTTGGTTAAAAGAAGAAAAAGATTCAAGGCCCTGTGAAGAGAAATGGGTGCTCCGAGTCTTTCTTTCCTTTTCTTTAGATTCATTCATCCGAAGTAGCTGAGAACAAGGAGCTAATCTTATGTATGGCCCAATCTTGGCTCAAAAGTATCTCTTCTCTTAAACAAATCTTCTCCTGAGGCAGATAGTTAACTTCCGTTCCTCAAAGCCTGGCGGTTGATGCACTCAGAGCTAAGAGCAGCTCGGCCCTTCCCCTGAGGCAGATAGTTAACTTCCGTTCCTCAAAGCCTGGCGGTTGATGCACTCAGAGCTAAGAGCAGCTCGGCCCGTGTCTGTTTGCCTGGATTTGGTTGTTCCATTGTGTTCTTGTCAGAGAGCAGCAGAACCCTGTTGTCCCTAAAGTGCTGGGCACACAGGCTGCCCTCAGTCACGTGGCTGTGTCCCCGTGTGTCACCGAGCACAGCTTTTTTACAAGGTATAGGACGCATTTGTCTCCAGGAGCCAAGCAGGTGACACAGACTGCTGAATTTAAGACACACGCTCATTTCAAAGCCTGACCCGTTGGCGTGCGCCCACCAATAAAGCATTTCCATTCACTGAAACAATACTTTCCTGGCCAAATAAAACAGCCTACCCACAGGATCTGGCCATAAAGCGCCACCAGATCCAACCCATTATGCTTCTCGGCTGACACTCTGGCAGTTCTCAGAAGAAAGCACTGTTCATTTCACAGGCACCTGACAGAGAAAAAAAACGGAAGCTCAGTTATAGTGAGGTGTCCACAGCTAGCTGTTTGGGGGAGGTGAACCTATACTTCTAATGTCCGACCAGGACTCCCATTTCCCCTAACACCACAGACCACTACGCTGGATTTGGGGTTTTGTTTTTGTTTTTCCTACCCCCTTCCTAGTTTTTTCTCGGGGGTGGGGAGGGTAGGGGGGTTAAACCTGAGCCAGGCATGGAGGAACAACCCCCCCCCCCCCCCCTGCATTGTTCCAGTTAAACCAGAAGACCAAAATGAGAGACTGGAGCCCTAGAATTTAGAATCTGGATGGCAGGACATTGGAGGGTAAGGGGTTAAATCAAAGGAGGCTGACATTCCAGCGACAGTGGGGGGTCAAAGTCCTCTTAGAATACTCTGGACCAGTGTCCTTGGCAGCAAAGCTTTCTTTGCCAACACAGGCACACGTTTCCCCCAGCCTCTGGCATGGCAGAGAGGTGCAGGGCAGCCTGCCAAGGAAGAACTCTGCACCTCAGCAGCCGTGAGGAAGCTGGCTTCCAAATTGATGTGAAGAGTTTCCAAAGGAACCTGATTGTATTGAGAGGAAAACATACAGAGAGAGAGAGAGAGAGAGAGAGAGAGAGAGAGAGAGAGAGAGAGAGAGAGAGAGAGAGAGAGAGAGAATCTTAGCAGCTGAGTAAACAAGCCTCCTCTAACTCAGGTAGACTGGGTGTTGCCCCACAGGCATAAAATGGGAGCTACCCTGTGGAACCGGAGATTTTCTGAATAGTCACGTTAGAAAAGAAAAAGGAAACAGAAGAAATGAATCTGGATGATACATTTTATTTAAATGAAGAAATTCAAGATTTTTTTTTCAACGTTTGTTACCAAAGAAGTTGAGGTTCACTCTTTTTTGTTGTTGTTTGTTTGTTTGTTTGTTTGTTTGTTTGTTTTTTGAGACAGGGTTTCTCTGTGGAGCTTTGCGACTGTCCTGGAACTCACTCTGTAGCCCAGGCTGGCCTCGAACTCACAGGGATCCGCCTGGCTCTGCCTCCCAAGTGCTGGGATTAAAGGCGTGTGCCACCAATGCCCGGCGAGGTTCACTCTTTTGAGGTCTTAGTCCCATTAATAAAATAATTCAAAAATGGACTTAGAAGGAAGCCCAAGAACAATTTCACTAACACTTGAGGGAAAAACAACAGGACAGGCAAGCTAAAAATTTCCAGCAGTTGCCAGGAGACGCAGAGGTCAGAGAAACAGCCAGAAGGCCCAGAGAGTTGAGGGAAGCATGCAGAAAAGCGCCAAGCTGTGGGCCTGACTTTAGCAGACACTCAATTCCAGATTCTTCTATCCCAGGGCAAGGGACCACACCAGGACTCACAATCAGAAAGAGAGAGAGAGCGTGTTAAGAAAGGAAAAACAGCTGGGCGGTGGTGGCGCACGCCTTAAATCCTAGCACTCAGGAGGCAGAGGTAGGCAGGCGATCTCTGTGAGTTCGAGGCCAGCCTGGGCTACAGAGTGAGTTCCAGGACAGGCACCAAAACTACACAGAGAAACTCTGTCTCAAAAAACCAAAAGAAAAAGAAGAAGAAGAAGAAGAAGAAGAAGAAGAAGAAGAAGAAGAAGAAGAAGAAGAAGAAGAAGAAGAAGAAGAAGCCAGCCTGCTCTAAAAAGTGAGTTAGTTCCAGGACAGCCAGAGCTGTTACACAGAGAAACCCTGTCTCGGGGGGTGGAGGTGGGGAGGAAAAACATTCCTAAGAATTAGAATGAGCTAATGAGCTGAGGAAAGGCCCCAAAAGTTCTGAGTCATGTGGTCCATGACCCTTTAGAGGACATTTACATAATGCCCACCTCTTTCAAGTTTGTATGATGAAGGATTCTCACGAGAAGGAGCCCACGAGAGGATTCCAGTCTTCCTGTGCCAACTCACTTTCTCCACATGTTAATCTTGATGTTTCAATCCACTTACCAGGCTTCTGCTACATAACCAATTTATAGTATGATACTATGGGCCCGAAGAGGATGTAGCTCAGCTGGCATCATTGTCTGCCTCAAAGCAGAAAGCCCTGGGTGTGCCTCAAGTGGGTGTGATAGCATACATTTATAATCCCAGCCCTTGGGAGGTGCCAGCAGGAGAAGTCAGTGGTTCAAGATCATCCTCAGCTACATGTCAGGTTCAGGGCCAATCTGATCTCACGAGACCCTGTTTCAAATAAATAAATACGATCAATCTTACTTAGTTTTCCCCTCACAGTCTCTGAACTTCGCTGTTCATTTTATGATTCCAGCTCATCTCAGTTGCACTAGCCACATTTCAATTGCTCGAGACCCACATGCCACTAAGGACTTCTATCTTCGGACCACGCAGATCTAAGCCAAAGAAACTCCCCAAAGCCTGTATTTCTTGTGTAGTAGAAGTGAGCAACTCGGAACTCTTTAAGGTCACAGGGAACTCTCTTTTCCGATTCTGCCCATCCTATGTCAAGACTTTGGTTTTTAACTTCAAGCCCTCTGCCATCGGGGCTTAGTGTCCCCTGATGTCCCTTTACGGCCAGTGGCTCTGCAAATCCAATCAAAGGCCATTGTGTTGGGCTCCATTTTTTGCCTTTGGAGAATGCAGCCCTCAGCACGTCCGCTTTCAAACATGGACTATTCTGGGGCTGTCTTCAATGCTGCCATGACTGGCAAGTGATTAGAGTGATATTTTTTATGTGCCTGAGTTCACAGAGCAAATTACATAGTGTGAGTGGCATGGTGATTAGTGGCTGTGTGTGACGACCAGCAAATCGCTGTATTTGCATGTTTCTGAATAATGTGATTCTTATCTCCATTATATGGCAATGGGGTCGAAATCGACAGCATTATTAACCGTTTCACAGTGAACACAATTACCTATTCTGTTTTTTTTCTTTTTGTCTCTGATGTCTCTTTTGTGCTCTCTCTCTCTCTCTCTCTCCTCTCTCTCAAAAATAAACCAAAAGCCACTTCATTTAGCAGCCCCCAATAGCTCTTCCAGACAGAAGTTTCCCGTAGGAAGATATTTCTAAACCTTATCAATTATCCATATGTATTCCGATCTAACTTGTTTCGTAGAAAAAGAAGCTGCAATTGTGAGCAGGAGAGATGTAAGCAAGGTTACGGATAGAGAAGAAGTCTACCGGGGTTGAGGCTCAATAGTAGAGGACTTGCTCCACATGCTAAAGTCCCTAGATTGATTCTCTCGCCTAGAAAGGAAAAAGAAAGAAAGAAAAGAAAATGAGGAAGGCAGGTGGGGAACACAAGACAGGGCGCTGACAAAGTCCTGTTCTCTTTCCTATTCTCAGCCTCTGGTGCTGCTGAGTCTTCAGAACAATGGAATTCCATCTTCTGCTTTAATTACATGTTGTGCATTTTGGTCACACATCCTTTTTTTCCCCCCCTGCTAAAAAGATGAAGAAATTGGGTAAAATTATCATCTGACTCCCCAAACACAAAGGCCTTTTCAACTGACTAAAGAAGACGTTAACTAGACACTGACCGGACAAACATCAATTTTTGCAGCCGTGACGTGAATGGACGGAGCCTCCGCTCGTTACGCTGATGGCGGGTTATAAAGCAGAACCGGGAAAGCTGTGATTAAGTGCTCCTGTGGCGGCTCCCTCAGCAGCGAGGCTTTTACCCGTCAGCTGCGCCGTGGTGGCCGTTTTGATATCAAGGGCAAGGGCAAAGTAAACAAATGTCCACAGAGACCTTTCCAAAAATGAACCCCAGCAAATCCTTCCCTTAGAAATGTTGCCGAGTTAGGGAGGTAGGGGTGGGGAATCACTTCAATTAAATTCTAACGCGTGGGTGCTATGGTGACAGGAAAAACGGCCACAACGGTGCACAGGCTAACTGCCTCTGCACAAAGAAAAGAGGAAACCTAGGGTTTGTCATGAACACGATGACGGGCATCGCTTACCACACGTGGGAGTTAAACACATCCATGAACAGCTGTAAGGATGACTATGATTAGTCAATATGTGGGTGAAGTGGAGCATTATTATGTAATATGTAATATATATATAATATATATAATATATATATAAGCAAAACACTAAAGATATATCTTACCACATGCCTTAAGATAGCTAGAAGGATCTATTATGTCTTCATCAATAATCAAAGATCTTGTTCTAGGACTAGAAGTCGTTAAGAGCTTCTAGGAAGCATAAAGCAGAAGAAATTGGGCCATACTCAGCAGTGGGTGAAAGATGATGAACTACTTCAGGTCTGCACACCAACACTCCAACCTTCCCCTGAGCCCACAGAGCACATTAATTCTCCTTGGTAGCGTTACCACATGCTGACACACACTGTCTTCCCTCGGCATGTGCATTCCATATAGACATGTGGTACCTGTACTTGCGAGGAAGCAGAGGCCGAAACCCAGTTATAGCTGATATCACCCATTTATTGGCTCAAACAAACCTTCAGAGATCTTGCAAGGAGGGAGACGCCATCCTTGCTGCGTGAGTTCCAGCGGAGAAGAGGGCATCGCTACCATCCCATAGTTTACCTGTAAACTACATGGGACTAGCTGATTTAGCTAGTATTGTGGAGAAAAGTGTGTAAGATGCTGAGATATCGAGTGCATAGCAGGAGACAAGCCCGAGAAGATTCCTCTAAGGGAATGAGATCAAGGAAACCTTGATATTAAGAGTTCAAGCTGGGTACAGTGGCTTTGATCCCAGCACTCAGGGGGGCCGAGACAGGCGGATCTCTATGAGTTGGAGGCCAGCCTGGTCTACCTAGTAAATTGTAGGTCAGCCAGGGATACACAGAGAGACCCCGTATTAAAATAAATAAAAAATAAATAAACAAAAGTTCTCAGGGAAGGGACAGTCCAGGCAACTGGAAGGGCAAGAGAAAAGGCCTCAGGGTGGGAACAAGTGATCGTGGCTGGAGCCAGTGAGCCAGAGGAGAGGGAGCCAAGAAAATGCCCTGGGGCCCAATCATGTGCTTGGCACATGGTCAATACTCAGTAAACCTTTGCTGAATGAACAAACCAACAGGCACATGTCAGCTGGAAGGACAGTACTTTTGCCCGCTTTTTGCAAGAGTGCAGATGACCAGGGCACAAAAATACAGACTGGTGTCAGGTGAGTAAGACTGGGTATTCTCTAGGAACAGTTGAAAATGAAAAGTGAGCCAGGGCTGGCTGTAAAGATTCTAATTCCAGCTACTCAGGAGGCTGAGGCAGTCTGGGCGATCCAGGGAGACCCATATCTCACAATAAAAAAGCACAAAAAGGTCTAGGGACATAGCTCAGCGGCGAGGGGATTATCTAGCACGCAGAGGACCCTGGGTTCACTCGCCAGTTCCCACCCTGTGGAAACTGAAACATTCAAGGGAATCTGTAATAAACCCCAAATTCCTGCCAAGGAGCATTGAAGCCAAGGAGCTGAAACGCGGTTGACGTCATGTGGGGCAGGTTCCAGAAGGCAGGACGGATGTAAAGTAGACTTTGAATCACACACAAGAATGTGGTAGGTAGAACAAACAGAACAGAGGGCTCTCCAAGGAAATCAGTCTGCATCACCGTACTCCAGAGGAGCGACACTGATTTCTGGACAATTATGTACATCGTTCTATGCTGGCTTGCCCAGGCAAGGGGGAGGATTAATCCCATACACAAAACATAGAACCTGGGTTCCAATGTTTTCATTTGAGGTTGCCCCTTTGAAATTCACAAGGCTCCCCTTGAGTGGAGATTTGCCCAATTTAGCTTATTTTATAGTGAGATTGGGGAGAGCCCCCCACCCGGGCCCCACCTTGCCCTGACATCTGTAAGGGGTCTTCTCATTCTCTCTCCTTCCAGAATCACACCCTCCTGCTGTTCTCACTGGACTGGCTTCCTTCCCTTTCAGCACCACGTTCATTAAACCCTTGCAGAAGCTCTCCGGAAGCATCCAACCGCCTATTAGAAGGTCTGTAAGATGTGAGTCATGGTTCCACCACCCACCCGAGAGGCCCAGCCAGAGGATAGGTATCATCCATCACTCGTGACCCTTTCTTCTCATTATACCACCCAGGGTCTAATCAATGAAATTCAGTCAACTCTAACTCTCAAATGAGTCTCCTTCCTCTGTAGCCTGTTCACCCCCATGCCTTTTTCTTCCCTGGACTTAATTAAGTTATGGCACAGCTCATTTCTTTTCTTTCCTGCTCTGTTTTCTCAAATGGTGCTGGGAGTTGAACCCAGAACCTGCCGTATTCTATTGAGCTCTCCCCACAGACTACACCTGGGTCTTTTGTTTTTAATTTTTTTTCTTTAAATATCCTTCTGGGAATCTTTCTGATCTGTTGGCCTACTTTTCCACAGCTCCCAAACACCCTGAATTTTTTTTTAAGGTTATGAACAGATACCCCCAACCTAAACATGTCAGAAGTCTCCGTTCCTTTTTTCACAGTTCCGCTACCCAGAATGCCCTTGCCCAACCCTGTATCTACATGTATTCTTTGTTTTTTCCCTGTAGGTAGTATCCTTTTTAGTTTTTTTGGTTTTGTTTGTCATTATTATTAATATTAATAAGTATTATTGTGTGTGTGTGTGTTGTTCAGGCTTGTGTCCAGGCACACACACGTCATGGCACATGTTGATATCAGACAACTTTTGGAGATTTTTCTCCTTCCACTATGGGATCCAGGAACTGAATTCGAATCCTCACACTCATACAGTGAATGCTTGTACCCATGAAACCATCTCCCTCGCTCTCCAGATATAAATAATCTTATTGTGTAGCCTGGGCTGGGGTCAAAGATGTGACGATCTTCCTCTCTCCCTAAGGCTGTATGGACTCCTGTGATTGACCACCCAGACTCAGCTCAAGCGGAGCACAGTGATGCTGATGTGTAATCCTATCACTTGGGAGTCCAATTGGGCATTATGGTTCGCCTATGTGTAATCCTAGCACTTGGGAGTTCAACTGGGCATTATGGTTTGCTGTACTCTTAGTACTCCCAAGGCTGAGACGCAAGTTCAAGGCTAGCATGGGTTACAGAATGAGATTCTGACTCAGTATCTCCCTTTCCCCACCCAAAAAGGACAAGAAAAAGAAAACAACTAAATATCACCAATTCTTTAAAATTTCCTCTGATCTCTGAATAAAATAGGACAGTTTTTCCTGTATAGATCCCATAACATCTCAAATAAAACTCCATTTTACCATTTACTGTCTAGCTGTAATTAGTAGTAGATACATTGATTGGCCTTACCTCTCATGGACCACACACGAGCCAGATTCCTATGCCCACTTTGGTTTGTGTTTGTCTGTTTTGAGGCAGGATCTCTCTGTGTAGTCCTCCAGACTGTCCTGAAATTCACAGAGATCCTCCTACTCCAGCCCCTTGACTGTTAGGGTTGTAGATGTGCACCACCACGGCTGGTTTCTGTCCCGTTCTTTTTTGTTGTTGTTGTTGTTGTTTGTTATTTTGAGACAGGGTTTCTCTGTGTAGCTTTGCGCCTTTCCTAGATCTTACTCTGTAGACCAGGCTGGCCTCGAACTCACAGAGATCCGCCTGCCTCTGCCTCCCAAGTGCTGGGAATAAAGGCGTGCGCCACCACCGCCCGGCTTCTGTCCCGTTCTTAATGCGACATCACTAGACACTTTTCAGTTCCATCAATTCCGAGTCACCTGTGGCTTCACGTCCTGCAGTTTCACACTGAGATTCAAAATAGGGAAATTCCAGGAATAAGTAATTCGTAAGTTTCAAGGAACTTGTGCTATGTAGTATATTGTTGTAACTGTTCCATTTTATTAGTGGTAACTCAAGTCTTTTGCTGTTTGTTTGTTTGTTTTTCGGTTTTTCAAGATAGGGTTTCTCTGTGTAGTTGTGGCACCTTTCCTGGAACTCACTCTGTAGCCCAGGCTGGCCTCAAACTCACAGAGATCCGCCTGCCTCTGCCTCCCGAGTGCTGGGATTAAAGGCAAGCGCCACCACTGCCCAGCTGGTAACTCAAATCTTACTGTGTCCCGTTTCTAATTAAACTTTATTGTGAATTTGTATGTATAGGAAAAACAAAGTCTATATAACACAAGGTGGGATGCTATCTGCAGTTCCCAGCATTCCAACGCCTTGGAACATCTCCTCGTTGGATAAGGAGTGACGACTATATTGACTAAGAAATTGAAAAGGGGCTGGGCGGTGGTGGCGCACGCCTTTAATCCCAGCACTCGGGAGGCAGAGCCAGGCGGATCTCTGTGAGTTCGAGGCCAGCCTGGTCTCCAAAGCGAGTTCCAGGAAAGGCGCAAAGCTACACAGAGAAACCCTGTCTCGAAAAACCAAAAAAAAAAAAAAAAGAAATTGAAAAGGGATTTTTGTTGTTGTTTTTGTTGTTGATGACAATTGGTTGGATGGGGAGGTTGGGCTTTGGCTTAGTTTAGGGTTGGGGTAGATTTCGGTTTGTTTGGTTTGGTTTTAGATTTTGTTGGTTTGGGGTGGGTAGGCAGGCCTTGATACACAGCTCAGGCTAGCCTGTCTCTATGTCGTCCAGGCCAGCCAGGAACTTTTGACGATCCCCCTGCTTCTGCTTCCCACGTGCTGAGATTACAGCCTGAGCCATCATGTTCCATTTTCATGTGACTGGAACGATGTCACACACATTGCCTCATCTTCACAACCTTCACCGGACCAGAGAGTGACTGCCAGCTTGTCGGGAGAATTAAAGACTGAGTACAAAGAAATCATTAGCCAATCCTCCCACCGGAAGTCCCGAATCCCAAGGTTCCTTAGACCAACGGGATCCCTTGGTTATCAGGACACTGCTGGACCCATTTCTTGAGTTTTTCTTGAGCGTGAGCGATGGCCTTAAGGATAATCTTATCTATGCGTAACTCATTCATCCTGACAGACAAGAAGTTCCTGGCCAGAGAGACATGGAGTTCCCCTAGTTTGTACCGGTGTACCAC